CACCATTGTCAGAATGGTCTTCCCTTGAGGGCTCCATATCTTCCCACGAACCGGTCGACTTGTCCTCGCAATGCTCCTCTACACTTATCCTTCCCTCACATTTGTATCCCATCAAAAATCCCACATTCCCGTATGCACTACACATTCAATTCAATTTGTTGAGGTTATGACTCAAATTTCTATAATTTATTGTGACACATGTATACAACGTCAATGATGCCTGCATGTTTTCCAATTTGGATGCATAGTTTTTGTTTGGTTTAAATTATCTGATAACTTCAAACACTATGTTGAAGACACTGCAGTTAAAAGGATCATGCTTGAGATGTTTGCTCCCAGTGATGCAGATCATTATGACAAAAACTACTAGATATGAGAGTTGAGACATTATTATAATTCTCTGCTAATCTTCCTCTGCTCTTCCTGCTTCTGATCCTTGGATCTCTTTGACACGTGCACAGTGTAAAATCAAGATGCATCAGAATAAAAAATTTAGAAAATATTTACACTTGTTTTGGATCAAATTAAAACGAATAAATTTTAAGTTAAGAATGTAGTTAAAAGTGTTAATAGCAATCACAATGATTCAGTGTCATGCATGTTAAGTTATTATGCATATAAAAATATCCATTCATCTAAATTTTATTTTAAAAAATATATTAAGTATATAATTAATTTAAGTAGTTATATTTTTATCTAAATTAAGTGACATGTTAATTAATTGAATAATGAATTTAATTTCCCACAGCAACAAATTGATTGCATGCAACATAGAAGGAAAATTAACTTCATACACAATTTACCTTTTCTGTATTACACTTTTATAATTGTGTTTAACTCATATGAAAGAAAACGACATTTTCAGATTACTTGGAATTCTACTTAAATTGTTTTTTATTAAGCACACAACACAATACATGTCTTCATCAACTCCACTACATATCCTAGAGCTTGCATTTTGGCTTTAGGTCGATTGTGTTGAATAAATTATTGGTCGAAAAGAAAAATTATCTAATCTAATCTAAATACTATAGAATATGATTATTCATTTTGCAATGATTGTCCTATGAAAATAACCAATGATTAATTGAGTTAAAGGCATTGATAGACGCAAGCCTGACCCATTTCGAATATTAATAATTGAAAAAAGGAAAGACTATATATTTAGATATGACGCAGGAAGATAAACATCAAAATAAATTACATATTTCTCACATATAGATGCCCAATCATGCAAATGAAATATTATTCTAGCCAAAAAAATAATAATATCAAAATGTATGGTATAGCGCTAATTCATTGCACAAGAAAGTCATTTAATTTATTTTGCATTATATAATATTTGGATAATGGATAACGTATATAATTGAAAGCTGAATTATTCAATTATTCAGAACAAATTCATGCATCCTAATTAAGAGAATTCAAGCCAGGCACATCTTTGAAAGACATTAAATGGATCTAGATTTTGTAAGTGTTCCAGGTCCGATCCTCGCGTCTCATAATAGTGTCCAAACTCTATATCCATGGGATTTCATCAAAAGTTCAAAATTCATGCTTGACCGGAAATTAATTAATTAATGAAGGGGTGAGTTAAAAGAAACTTTTAATTATGAAAAGTCTTTTGTCAAATTATTTTTTCTTCTTCCAAATCCTACTTTCTTTCTATATATATCCAGTCTATCCAAAATTTTATGCTTCTTTTGCAATACCATTTTTTTTTTTTTTTGCCTCTTGATCTTGATGTATCGACTTAAAATGTAGAGTATTTACATCACTTTTCCTTGAAAAGTGACGTAGAAAGTTAGACAAACCAGACTCTAACTCTATCATATATCTGGATCTTTGTAAAGATTGAGTGAGAGAGAGAGAAGAGTGTGTGTGTGAGATTATGGGTTGAAAGGATACTAAGTTACTGACATCATGACCACGAATAGAACCAGCATTGCAGGTGATGAGACGGAGAGATCCACGATGGATTCGCCTGCATGTCTTGAACTAAAACTCTCGAACATTATCCCAATCACTTTCCCGTACCAGCTGAGTCGCTCCAATGCTACAGTCCAATGCAACCACCATACCATACTATGAACCCTACAACGATGAACCCTACAACAGTAACTAACAGAAACCTCGAATGCTTCCTCCTAAGCAAATGTTTGTACTCGATGACCTCCTGCGAATTCTTCTTCATCAAAAGGTGCTTGCTTTCCTCTTTCTTCACAAATTTCCCCAAAACCCTGATTGAGAATCTCAAGCAACAAGGATACAGTGTGTTCCCGAGAAGCATTTGAGGAATCAGAATCATCAACAGACCAGAATTCTTAGCAAAAACAACCATGTTTTCGCTCGTGGGAACGAATTCACAGTTTGAGAATGTTGAAACTACCGTGAACACAGAATGTGAACAGTTTCAATCCCTTCTTCAAAACTTTTTTAGTACTCGAAACAGTGGGGAGGTAAACAGACACCATTGTTATACCTATGACTTGGACAATTACTTGATAACCTAAGACGACAAAACCAAGGTATTTTACACTACTACCTAGTGCAGATGACTCATCATTAATATCGGGTTCTGATCTTTTTTGCTCCATCTCCAACTCAAATGGGTCAAGAAGATCAAAAGTCAGAGTGTTTTGGTGGGTTTTGAGCTTCAATCTGATGAAGAAGAGACCAATCATGGAGGTGAACACTTCACCTCCTAGTAACATTAATATGGTCATGACGATAAGTTGAGGGTTAGAGAAAACTTCCATTTCAACAGTGGACATGCTTGACACTGTGGAGGCAGACAATGAGGTGAACAAATTGTCCAAGTTACTTGGCCTTCACTACTACAAAAATGGCAATATTCAACGGTCATTAGCTTGAAGAAATTATGGTTCTGGGTTCGATTAGTTTCAGAAGACAGAAACCCAGAAACGAGAGGGACGTGAAATAGCCCATTCGAATCCGTAATGGGTTTAGGCTCAGAAGGATATGGCGATCCAAACAGGACAATGATTTGGTAAGACAAGACACATATTGACATGATCTAAAGCAACAACGTTGTGACTTTGGTTTTGCTGATCATCTCCTTCGTCGTCATATTGACATGATCTAAAGCAACAACGTTGTGACTTTGGTTTTGCTGATCATCTCCTTCGTCTTCAGCTATGAGTTGAAGTGAGTTTTTCTTGGGCATGTGTGGCGGCATTTTAAAGCAAAACAGAGTAATTAAGGTTCTTTAGTCTTACAGTTAATTTTATACCACTCCATTTAAAAATATAATGTATTACATTTTTTAAAGATTTAGATGTAAAAAAATATAAGACATTTTTACTATTTTGAGATATAATTAATATACTTTTTTTAAAAAGTACTTCTAATAACTAAATTACTTTACATTTATTTTAAAGTAAAATACCCTATTAAATATGAGTAAATATAAAAAATGATATTAGTTTGAAAATAACTAACTACTTTACTGAAATGTGATTCAGTTAAAAGTATCTTACATTTTTTAATGGAAAGAATATTATTTAATTATATATTTTTAAAATTTTCATCACCATTTAGCCTATGATATATCATTCTGGCATGAGTCTGAGGTAAATACTAAAACAATAAAAAGCATGATTATGATATAATCCCTCCATTTCTATTTATAAGACAAAGAAAGCGAGGGAGGGAGTGAGAAGATTTTTTTTTTTAATTTTAATTATCAGACATGTCATTGAATTTTTATTACAAGTTTTTCCTTTTACCCTCATTAAATGTTAGGGAGAGAGTGTACATAATTAATTAAAGTATGTATATTTAATAGAAACATGTGTAGTTGAAAATTTATTAAATCTTTAGGGAGAGCTAATGAATTTTAAAGTTTTTTTTATTCAAAATGAATTATAAATAAAACTAGAGTGAATACTTTCTTTTATTATAGTTAACTTTTTTTCTTTATTAAATGTCAAGGATAATAATTTAAATTAATTAGTGGTTAATTAATAATTAAAAATTGTATTTAACTTTAGACAGGTGGACGTGAAACTTTGACTCAAAGTAAGAATATGTCTCGCTCATAGCCGTAAAAATCGCAGCTCACGAGAAATTCTTGAATGGACTGGTGTATATTGTCTATGGTCGATAGCCAATTAATGCCTATTTATTTGTTTAATAAAATTTATACTTGAGGTTAGAATGAAGAAATAAGTCTATTCTTGTTTTATTGATTAAAGATCTATTATTTCCTTGGCCAACACCCAAAAAAAAAGAGCAAATATTATCAATTCGTTCGCCCTTTAAAATATACTCTAGCTGGACTACTTCAATCCACAATGGGTTTATGCTCAGAAGGATATGGCGATCCAAACATGTGACTGAGGACAATGATTTGGTAAGAAAAGACAAGACACATATATTGACATGAATTAAACCAATACAAAGTTGTAACTTGTTTTTGCTGATCATCTCCTTCGCGTCTTAAGCTATGAGTTGCAGTGAGTTTTTTCTTGGGATTTTGTGGCAAAGCAAAACAGAGTAATTAAGGTTCTTGAGTCTTATAGTTAATGTTATATTGTTTAATTACATATTTTTAGAATTGTCATCACCATTATATTTAGCCCATGATATCTCATTAGCTGGTATGAGTTTGAGGCATATACTAAAAACAAAAAACATAGTCACGATGTTAATCCTCCAATTCTATGTATAAGATTGAGAGAGAGAAATTTTTTAATTTTAATTATCAGTTATTAAATTTTTATTACAGGCTTTTAATTTCCTTTTATCCTCACTAAATATTTGTTAACGTATGAATATTTAATAAAGATAAATTAAAAATTTATTAAATTTTTAATAAATGTTAAAGTTTTTCTTAATTATTGAAAAGTAAATTATAAATAAAACTAGAGTGAATATTTTCTTTTCTTATAGTGAACTCTTTTCAGTATTTATCTTTCACATTTGTTAATTTTAAAGCTTCCCTCCCTTGTTTCTCTTCCTAATATGAAAGATGTAAATTATAAATAAAACATAAAATTTTTATGTCTTTGATAAAAAGACAAATTTCATAAAATTCATGTAAATATTTCTCTAACTTGAGATGATCCATTCTCATCCATAAGTGATCAAAGGAGGATCCAAGCTTGGCCTCCATCCATGTTGAACTTCTTAAGCCTTCCAAAAAGCATAACCAACATGAGAATGCTCTTCCCTTCTGGGCTCCACCTCCCTGCGAAACCAGTTGACCTGTCCTTGCAATACTCATCCAACTTTATCCTTCTCTTGCAACTGTACCCCGTGGAAAACCCCACATTCCCATATGCACTGCACATTCAATTCAATCCACATGCATCGCAATCTCAATTACACTATACAATGCTTGAATTGGTAGATTCAGATTTGAATCTTAAATTTATAATTCAAAGACAAAAAAAAATGGAGAGATGAAAAATGAAAATGAAAGACAAAAATACAGGGCTAGTGTAGCCAACATTTCAAATAATTAACAAAGGATTACAAATATCCAGAGAATGGCATTCAAGAACTCTCTAAAAGCATTATTTACAGTTAAGAATCCTGAGATTTTAAAATTTCAAAAAACAATCATAATCCTTAACTGGAATTGAGCTAATTCTTTCAATACTCATATTCTATATTTTCAACTTTCACATTTTCACATCTTTAGCATTTTTCAGTGCTCGGTTTTTCAATTTGTCAGTAATCATTTTAAATAGCTTCAATACTCATCTTCTATGTTTTCAGTAGTGAAAAACACTTATTTTTAATTCTTTTCAGTATTGAAACCAAGAAACAAGAGTATTAAAAACATCTAAGGTGACTACTTAAAAAGTAAAACCCACTATTAAAAATGCTAAAAAAGATTATCGAAAATGTGGAAGATATGAGTATTGAAAAATTTTAATCCCGATAAAGAACCATAGTATTTTTCCTGAAATTATTCCGTAATTCTATTATCCTTATATCTAATTAATATTTTTAATTAGATGGTGCTTAAGTTTCCCAAATCTAAATCCCCCAATTGCATCTGAACACAATATACTGCATTAGTGTTATATATTGATGAATTTGAATGTCTTAAAGTGAAGAGATTGTTGATTAATTACCTGATGACTTCAATCACTATGTTGAGGACGTTGAAGTTGAGAGGATCTTGAGTGAGACCCTTGCTCTCAGTGATGCAGATGATGAAGATGAAGATGACTAGATAGGAGAGTTGTGACATTATCATGTTCTCTACTAATATTCCTCTTCTCTTTCTTCTCCTCTGGTCGCTATTGCCCTCTCCATCCTTCCCCTCCTTCTTCACGGGTAAAAATGACGTGTATGGAGGAAGATACCTATCAAATAAAATTATATATATTAATTTTACAATTAGTTCATCAAGCTAAGTAGTTGATATTTTTTTTTTCGTCTAATATAAAATTTATAGCAAATTGGAAGATACATGATAGTGCTGAGATGGATGTATATGTGAGCATCGAAAAAGAAAAGATAAGATTCGTAATGTTCATATGCAAGAAAAAATTGTTGTGGCCTCTATATTAAGGAAAAAATAGTAGACAGTCATCTAGTTTAGACATGTATATATATATATAACAAAGGAGGCAATTGGAGGTACTAATAAGTTGGGTGGAACATAAAATTGGGTCACGTGAAAAATAGTAAAGAAACAAATAAAAAAACACTCATGCTATATATGTCTAGATGCATAGAGATTTGAATTTAAGTCAAATATATTGTTTGGATAATAAAAAGTGTATAGATTTAAATTCAAATTTTACCATTGAGTTTGACTAAGATCAAACCATCAACGTTGTTTGATTTGCTTTTAAATTTAAATATAGTATTTAAATTTTAAAATTTTAATTAAGATCCAAATAAAAGATTTTAATATTATAATTTAAAATTTCTTATATCATTTAAACAAAGAAATTAGAATTTATAAATTTTAAATGTAAAATTTCAAACTATATGAGATTTTAAATTCAAATTTCTAACTCAATAAATCATTCCATCCAAATACAACCTCAATAAAATTATTAAAAAGATCTTTTAGTTAATATTAATATATTATATTCAAATATTTGATTGTTGAAAAATATAATGATATTGTGCAATTCATACAATTAAACCTATCCAGTGAGATAAGTTATTTGTTGTTATAAAATTTATAGCAAATCGTGTTTATTAATTAATGAGTCATGATACGAAGACGTGTTTGGTTGTGCTAGATAAAACAAATCTAAATTCTTTGCAATTATAAATTGACTAAACATGACATATAATATGATCATCAAAAGAATAAAGAAAGAGGAGAGCATATATAAATATTATAACATAGGAAATTGAATCTATATCTTTATTCTATCAAACACAGCGACGTAAATAAGGGTGGGATGAATTCTAACCTCCCTGTAATAACAAATAACAAATTGATTTCATGAAATATATAACCAATGAATTCGGAAAACCAACAACATACAATACTTTTACCTTCTCTTTATTACATTTTAGAAAAATATAATTTTGAATCCCTACGCTTTAATCGAGTTTTGTTATATATCTTTACACTTTTTTTTTATATTCTAAATCCTTATATTTTTATTTTTTATTATTTTAGGTTCCTTTATTAGTGGTTTCATAAGGATCTATAGCACTAAAAAATAAAAATATAGAGACCTTGAATATCAAGAAAAAAATGCAGAGACCTGTAATAAAACTTAAGTAAAGTATAAAAATTTAAAATTATATTTTTTTTTTCTTACATTTTTTTTAGCCTCATAGCGGTAAAAAACTCTAAGTACTCAGTTGTTTAGGCACACAACCTACATCTACACGTAATCGCAATTAAGCAAACCTATGAAAGATTACCTCAAAATAAACTCTGTGTTTGTGTGTCTAGACACCCTAATCATGTAAATAAAATATTATTCCTATGAAGCGCTAATCCATTTTGCATGATTGAAAGCTGAATTATATATTCAGAACATGATGGCATCCTAGGAAAAATTCAAGTCAGTTACAGCTTTGGAAGACAAGAATTTATATTATATAAGCAATCACGAGAAATATAGTATATAAAAAGGACAATAATGTACTGTGTAGTTTTCTCAATGTTGAATCTGGGAAGGATCTACAATATAATGCTACGTACATCGAATACAACCTGGCTTTGGGGATTTCGTTGGCAGTTCCGAATGGGGTTGATTCTACTGATCCCAATACAAAATATATAATTCACTAACTTATAGTCATAGATTTAGTTCCTTCAAATTATTTTTAGTTTATTATATCTACCTAAAGAAATATTTTTTATATATACATAGAGTTTAAGGTAAATTGCATTATTTATAATTTATCATGATGTTGTTTTTTTGTATATAATAGATTTTATATATATATATCATTATATTGAATGATGGTTTAGTTTATGCCTCCCTTTTTAATCTTCTCACTTCCAAGACTCTTTAAAAAAAATTAAATGTTTCAGCACTTGTAAACTAATTAACCGTTGAATTTTAATTACTACTTATTAGAATAAATTTTTTATTACCAAAAAAGCTAGTTAGAATAACTATTGCTTGGTTCAAATCAATCATTAAATTGTTGTCTAGCAAAAAGAATCATTAGATTGTTGACGCAAAAAAGGAGAGTGGCAAAAGATTTGAGATTCACACTCATTAATAATGAGTCCATTTAATTCTATCTTTACTGTAATGGCATGATGATATAAAGGGGAAGAGACAAGCCTGGAAGAAGATCATACATGTACGGTGATGAGACATATCGTACACCTCTCTCAGGATACGACCCGAAAGAAATCGAATCTGCGATTAATAATATATGGGATATGTGCGTTCACCTAAAACACATATCTTTCTTCATGGTGTCGTTTTAAAAATAATGGGAATCTTGAGGGCGCGCATCACAATTTCTGCCTCCCTCTTTCTTTGCTTCAACAAAAATATTTATCGAACTTAACAATATATTGACTGTTAGATTTAAGATCGAGTGTGTACATATAAAGAGATATATGAAGAAAGAGATACTAATTAACAACATGATATGGTCCACATGCAACACCACCTAAATGGCATACAGTGTCACCAAAAAAAGAAAATACTGAACTCATAAATTATATTGATAGACTCACCTAACATGAGAGACAACCCACCCATTTCATGTATGTCTACCTTTTTTATAACACTAATTGAATAAAGAACCAGAATCATGAAGGGAGATGGTTCTCTCCTGCCCCACCCTCACAAGGGCAGGTTTTAATTTTCTTGTTTCATCCACCTGCCTACAATCATGAGTGATTTCCCCTTTCTTTGTTTGTGGTAAACTATCCGGTGTCCGAAGCCAAAGCTCTCCAACTAATTTGGATTGAGAAGGGTTGAAACTTTTTTGGGTGGAAGCTAGCTCTATCACTAAATCCTGTTGCATTTTCAGGACTTAAAACATTCAAAACCTCTTGTTAAACGAGTATACTTTTCTTTCTGGTTGAACCAAGCGCTTGTTGGTAGTGATTTCTCTTTCTATGCCCCAAGAATTCAGCAAACTTAATGATTGACTATTATATTTAAAGATCATTATTTAGGCGTAGCAAACATGTAGATAGAGAGAAGGAGGGGGGGAGAGATACTAACATCATGACCACGAACAGCACCAAGATGGCAGGGGATATGACGGAGAGATCCACAATTGTCTCGCCTGTATGTCTGGAATTCACGCTTTGGAACATTATCCCAATCACTTTCTCGTACCCGCTCAGTCCCTCCAGTGCTACCGAACTCCAATCCAACGAACAGAACACTATGAACTGCACAACGATAAACCCCATAACTGTAACTAACAGAAACCTCGAATGCTCCCTCGTAAGCAAGTGTTTGTACCCAACCTCGTGCGAGTTCTTCCCAAGGTACTCGCTTTCCTCTTTCTTCACAAATTTCCCCAAAACCCAGATCGAGAATCTCAAGCAACAAGGATACAACGTGTTCCCCAGTAGCACCTGAGGAATCAGCATCATCAACAGACCAGAATTCTTGGCAAAAACAATCATGTTTTCGTTCGTTGGAACGAATCCACAGCTTGCGAATGTAGAAACCACCGTGAAGACAGAGAACGTGAACAGCTCCAATCCCTTGTTCTTCAAAACTTGTTTAGCGCTAGAAACGGTGGACAGGTAAACAGACACCATTGTTATGCCCACGACTTGGACAACTACTTGATAACCCAAGACGACAAAACCTAGGTATTTGATTGAGTTGTAACCTAAATATCCTCCATGGCCTGCTACAGATGATGACTCGTCACTTTCAGGTTGTTCCTTCATGTTATGTGGATTATTATTATTATGATCAGATGTTGCTGCTGCTTCCACCATCTCCAACTCAAATGGATCAAGAATGGAAGTAACTGTGGGGATACTAACAGAAGACGTAGCTACTTTGTCTTGGTGGGTTTTGAGCTTCAATCTGATGAAGAAGAGACCGATCATGGAGGTGAACAATTCACCTCCCAGTAACATTAACATGATCATGACGATGAGCTGAGGGTTAGAGAAAACCTCCATTTCAACAGTGGACATGCTTGACACGGTGGAGGCAGACACAGAGGTGAACAACAAGTCCAGGCCACTAATATTTGTTCTTGAAGAAGAATGGTTGTAATTTCTGGGTTCGATTAGTTTCAGAAGACAGAAACCCAGAAAGGAAAGAGACATGAAATAGCCTATTTGAATCCATAATGGGTGTACCCTAAGAAGGATATGGCGATATAGACATGTAACCAAGAAGAAGAATGTTTTGGCCAGAAAAGACACGTATTGACACAGACTAAACCAAAAACGTTGTAACTTGATGTTGCTGATCATCATCTCCTTCATCTTAGCTTAAACTATTATAGTTGTAGTGAGTATTCATGTGGGTGTGGAGAGGCATTTAAAGCAAATTAAAGCAGAGAAGGTGCGTGTATACTTGGAGCAGTCCACCCTCATAGTTATAATAATTATATCTTATTTAATTTAATCATATATTTTGGAATTGCCACCGCGTGTTTAACCAATTTTAGTATAAGTTTAATGTAAATATATATGGCACCTCTAACTAGCTTATTGAAATGAAGGAAAGATGATTAAATCATTAACTAGCCTTGTCTAGAAAATTAAAGAATACACTTCTAATTTCACTTATATTTAAATAAAAAAATTTAAATTTACATTATATTCCCTCTCATAATTAATGAATTTAAATAGAATAATATTAGAAAAATGTAATTAATACACCACCAAGTGTTTAATATTAAGGACTATCACTTTTTTTTAGAAAATTTTTATAATAAGGACAGAAGAGATTACTCCCTTCTATCATGTTAATGAGACGGATAGAAAATGATTTTTCCAATCATGATTATTAATTTTTGCTTTTAATTTTATTAAATGTTGGAGAGAGAGAGAGAGAGAGAGAGAGTATGTTATTATAATATGTATGTTTATAATAAAAATAAAGTTAGAAAATTATTAATTTTTTATAAAGTTTGAGAATTTTAAAATTTTTTCTTGATTATTTTACTACGGAGTATTGAAATTAAAGAATATATATTTATTCTATAAAAAAGGAGTATATATTTATAATTCATATAATACAAATTATCAATAATCTAATTATTTCTTTGAATTGGTGTAATTAATAATAGGGTTGGCATCCTAAACCTTGAACTCTTGAAATATGAAAAAAAAATTCCTATTAATTTCTAAATTTTGAACATATAAAACCTCACCATTAAATTGAAAAAAATAACCATTATTTTTAATTATCAATATGAGTGTCACATCAGTGTACAAATGGAGTCCCATGACTTTAAAGTAATGGCGAGATTTTAGATACTCAAAATTTAAAAATTATTAAATTTTTTGCATATTTCAAAATTTTTGAATTAAGTTATTATTCGTATAATGGTTTAAGGTTTAACACGATCAATAACCTTTGATAATACCATACTCCATAGCCTATATTCATTACACTAATATAGTCAGGGAAGAGGGACTCTCCTTTTCTTTTCTCTCATTTTCTCTTCACTTTTTCCATCTCCACCTTTCATTAATTTTATCTTTAAAAAATTATTTAATAATTCATTAATTTTATTTTTAAAAAATTATTTAATAAAATAATATAAAAGATAGAAATGGAAGAAGTGGAGACAAATAAAAAAAAAAAAAGAAAGAAAGAAAGAAGAGTCTCCTCTCCCAATGTAGTTGTGGGGATAACGGTTGGCTCGTAGAGGCTGGAGTAACTACTAATATGCATGGTATTAATTAATTCTTTTCTTTGAATCGTGACTGCTGACAAGTGCCACATGTCAATAGCCAAGTGATAATGAATTCGGGCATGTATGAAGGACGGGCATGTTATCAGCCTGAACGCGCAGGACGATATACTGGACTTGGGGTTGTTGTACCTCTAATTAACAATCTCAGGATTATTAATTATTTCTTCATAAAATAAGTCACTTTTAATATTTATAAACAAACAAATATTAATATAGAACTAATATAGTAACATTTTTATTAAAAAATTAAAAAAGCAATGATAACATTTTAATGTTAATGGATATACTGAAAATGGATACTATTATTTGCAATATAATTAATACTTCTATTTTACGTTATAGCTTCAAGGAATTTTGAATTTCACTAACAAAGTTTAGCATTGCAAGATTCATCATCACATTTTTTTAATCATATAATTCTTGATTTAATTAATCAAACTTTATATTCAAGTTCAGGTTTTTTTTTAAATTTGTCTAACAGCATTTTTAATCTCCAGGAAATTGAATTTTTTTAAAAATATATTATTTTAACATTGAAGACAAAATTACTTATTTATTAATTATAAATTAAGATATTCGATGATGTTGAACATGACTAAATTACAAAAAATAAGAAATTAATTTAAAACTTATCTAGGTTTTATTTAGTAAGTTACTTTTTTCAGAGAAATTAGGAATAAAACATTTCAAGAACATATATGTACATATATTTAATATAATTAAAAAAACAATGGCAATTAATATTTTTCAAAAGTTTAATCCACTCTTCTTCTTCTTTTTTTGTTTTCTTATTAACAGTCATTCAAAACAATTCATATTTTGACATCACGCACAAACGCACGCACACTTGTAAATGTGCAAGCATGTGTGTATGTATTCTTAATCATTGCATATAACATAGGTGTATGAGAAATGTTTAAATAGACTGGATGCATTACATTATTTGTAATCTATTCAATTAAAATATTTTAAATAATTTAAATAAAATTTTGTGTGATATTTTTTAATTGATTTTATTTTTATAATAAAATGCACATTTAGTTTTTTGTCTTTTCCCTCTCTACTATCATTAATATCAAATCAATTTATATTTAATGTTATCTAAATATCATATTTTTATTGGATAAATCACAAATGATGTGATACACTCAGTCTACCTAAGTATTTTTCATAGGTTCATTGTAACTAGATTTATACCGGTGCCATCTGCATTTTAGTTTTAAAAAATAAAAATAAAAATAAATATTAAAAATTATTTTAGTATCCTTAAAATAAAACATATTGCTTTTTTCTCTATTTTCTTTTAATTAAAAATATTTTTTATTTTAAAATCTATACAAATCTCTCTTAAAATTAATAATTAAAAGTTACAAAATACAAACATGCCTTTTACTTTTAAGTTTTTATTTTCATTCATCCAACCATTAGTTAACGTTAAGTTACATATATTGGACTAAAATATCATTCTTGATATATTCTTGGGAGAATGATAAGAAAGGACTTTCTAAGAATATTGATGTCAAATTAAAAATTTTTGTATTGAAATTTGCTAAAAGGAATACTAAAATTTGGAAATGTCAGTGTTGAAAAATCCTGATTTAATATTAATATTCTTACAAAGTACTTATTTATCATTTTTCCTATAGTTTTTTTAAATTTTTATTCATGTTTTAAATTTATACTTGTACAAACTAATTTATTTAATATTTTTAAGATAAATGCATACTAATCCCTTTCAAAATTTAAAGTATTTTTAACTAAATCTTATCTCAATAAAGTAGTTATTTATTTTTAAATTGAAACCATGTTTTCATATTTAACATTATTTAATAAGATATTTTACTCTAAAATAAATATAAAGTAATTTATTCATTAGAGTCACATTTAAAAAAAATTAATGATTACACCTTAAAACACTAAAATATTTTATATTTTTGAACATTTAATACCTTAAAAAATACTTTATATTTTTTAACAAAGAGAGTAAATTTGTTAAAATAATATTTCAAACACATATGTGAAAAAATTAATGAAATAGAAGATAGATTAGTCAATATAATTGATGTTTATATTTATTTAAATTTTATAATTTTCATAAAATATTTTTAAATTATTGTCATACTTAATTGTTTAATGTTTGTTTTGGCCAAAAATTGTTTAAAGTTCCTCAAATTAGAAAGCTTGAGGATTGACAAATAGATTATAGGAGTAAATTAATAATTTAAAATTTTTAACGTAAATATATATAATAAATTAAATATTTTAGAATATTTAACATACTATTCCTAACAATGTTAAAGAAGAAGTCTTCATAACTCTAACAAAATAAAAGGAATGCTAGTATATTTTACTCTATAATTTATTAAATTGTGAAAATTAAAATATAAAGAATAACTTAGTTTATTTAGATTGTGTTGTACCGTGTAAATTATAATTTAAGGAATAACTTCTTCTTTTTTTCTCAATGTATTTTCAGATCCATAGCTATGAGATTAAAATTTTAATAAAATGATACCTATGTTATTCATTTTATGCAAATACATTTCTTTGCATATCTAAAACTTATTATTTTTTTAAGAATTTAATATTCACTATCCATTTTTATTATAAATTCTTTGCAGAGAAAGCTTTTTTCGAAGGACAGAAGCCAATTCCTTAGAGAGCATGATTGAGGTTCGATTATATATCATATATACAATAATAATTGCTGGCAAAAAAAAATACAATAATCATTGCTTTGAGTATATATCGCGTAAAAGCCGTGTGCACCGCACTGAATCACAGGTATTGGCAGATGGATAGTTTTGGTCATTTAATTTTATTTTATATATGACCAATTATTTTATCATTTTTGACCAAAAAACTAATTATTAGCCCTCACCTGAAGTTTAATATTATTTCCTGAGTACGATATAATTATATTTTGTCCAAGACAGATTGTTGTGGTGGTACATGTTGGTACAATAGGAAGAGTGGACTGTATGGTCTTATAATGCTAATTACACGTGGCAAAGCTCTTCCCATTCCTTTTTTAAAAAAAAAAGGTTTTTTCCATTTAAATAAAACACCGCCCATGTGGGGGTATTCACATGATATAATAATTAGAAGAGAAAATCACAAATAAGAACTTCAGAATTCCACATAAATAATCAATCATGATTATAGAATTATGAAATTACATTTTAAGATTATGATTCTTTTTCATAGTTTTTAAAAATATTATTTTAACTAAAATGTTTTTATTTAAAATGTCAATGTTTTAAATTTGCTAGAGGTGAAATCACTTTAACTATATTGAAATAGAAATTTAGTTAAAGAAAGCATTATAGTCAAATTATATTCACTTGTTGCGCATGCTATGGGATAGTGGATAACATGTAGATAAGTATTATCAAGAGAGGGATGAAATTGGCATGTAACTAACAAGTGGAAAGTGGTGCTTTCTATTTTACACTATTATTTATATCATTAGTATAAAAAGTGCTTATTGTTTTTGTTTTGTTTTTTTTTCCCCTATGTTTTCACACGATGCCACTTTTAAATCGGGCTTTGAATCAATGAAGAAAGTTGTACAATCGGTGTTTGACTTTTTGA